TAAGTGCAAGTAAAAGTTGTAAAGTTAGTTTATAGAGTTTATAATATTTATAGGTATAAAAAACAGTTAAAAATCTAAACTCATGTGTAGTCATGTTTACAGCTATTGATTCTAAATCTTATTTATATTGCATATTATCTATATGTTAATATTAATTTCAAATAAAAGCTTAATATTACTATTAAACTAAACTGGCTTGTGTAATGGATTAAGGGTATAATAACTATATAAATAATATAAAATAATTAAAAAATAATAATCTCTAAAATTAAGATGATTTTATCTTTACAAATGTTTTACTATGTAACTATGTCCTTTAATTTGGAGTAAGAGAAACTGGGGGAGTGGCTTTATTGCGTCAGATATGTGTCACTTTGCTTGAAGCTGATTGGTCAAATTTCGGTTTCAGTTCTGGATGGACTGGAGTGCTGTGGATTACTTGTGGATTATTGTGATGTTTTTATCAGCTGTTTGGACTCTCATTCTGATGGCACCCATTCACTGCAGAGCATCCATTGCTGAGACACTGATGCAATGCTACATTTCTACAAATCTGATGAAGAAACAAACTCATCTACATCTTGGATGGACTGAGGGTGAGCACATTTTCAGCAGGTTTTCATTTTAGGTGAACTATTCCTTTAAATAGTTCACATTCAGAGTCATGAACAGTAAACTCAGATGAACTCGGGTCACAGGAGTATCAAACCGAAATATTCTGAAGTTGCTCTCAGTGTGCTGAGATTCATGCACACATTCATTCAAACAAACACACATTTGCACTCTGGTTTTTTGCATCTGAGGTTCTCTGGAGCCACCTGCTGTTAGTGAGGAAACACTGAACAGTCACATGTGAATAGGATTGTGTTTAATACTGCAATCTTTTTTTCTGTAAAGCTGCTTTGAAACAGTCTATATTGTGTATTATGAATAAACTCACTTCATTTGATGTGTGTGTGAGTGTGTGTGTGTGTGTGTGTGTGTGTGTGTGTGTGTGTGTGAGAGTGTGTGTGAGAGTGTGTGTGAGAGTGTGTGTGA